TTATCATTAACTTAATCCGGTTTTATTAGCTCACGCAAACACTTAATATTTCCAAGTCCGTAATTATGTTAATTTGATTAATCTACTTCAATTAGTACAAGTAATATTAATATTTCTCACTTAGCTACCATTTCGTTGATTACCATTCAGTTGTTATCACACTCCTTGTTATTATTAAAATAAAATTCTATGTGTCAGGATTAAACAATAACCAGGCAGCCCGCATCTATTTTATTACTTTCAGTCCAATTAGTGTTAAGATGCGGCCCAGCTACAAAAAAAACAAACGGCCCAACTATGTAAAAAAAACAAAAAACTAACTCTTCAAATTAAGAAAACGATGATTGCAGAGAAGTCTGCATCGTCTTCTTCCTTGGCACAACGGAAGTTCTCAGGTCACTTAGGATAGAAGGTTTTCGGCTTTACCTTAACGATGTACGGTGGTTCGGAGATGAATGCAGATCGTCAGACGACAGTTGGTGGCGATGGCACCTTTGTTTCCCCCCTCTCCGTTTCCCGTCGTGAAACCAGCCCGACGAACACTCCGGAGAGCTTGTTCTCCGTCGTTTCACGATCGTTTTTCACGATTCTTTCACCATTGGATTCCTCTCTTGAAGGGGAAGGTTTCTAAAGTATTTTTACGGCTCTGTTTTGGCTAAAACGAAGGGTCGTAAATTTGTATATAAATACGTATATATGTATACATTAGTTTGAGCTCAGCTCCGGGTGAGCTAAAACGTAGGTCTGGGTAACTATTTATAGGTGGGAGGTGAGGGTTTTAGGCTGAGATGTTAGAGTTGGAGTTAAATTAAAACAGTTTCTTCCCCACCCGATTTTACTTCGTGGGTTGCGGTAGTTTGCCGGCCAAGAAAAAATGTAGCTCATTTTAGTTTAGTTCACCGCAGGAAAAATATTTTCTTTTCTTTTTGTACGTACTACGTGGGTTTTTTTTGTTGTTGTTTACTTTCATTTTACTAATAAAGTATGTACGTAGGTTTAAATCTTTCTCTTGCTTTTGTTTTCTTTTTGTTGTGTACTTTTATTTTATTAATAAAGTGTACGCATTTTAGTTAACTACGTATGTATATTTTAGGCATTAGGAGTATATTAGTATTAGAAAAGTCTAGTTTGTATTTTGTGTATGTTATACACAAGTTAAAATAGTTATCATAACTTTTATCTTTTACACCATGTGTATAACTTTAAAAAAACGTTACTTCTATTATCGGATCATTTTTATCTGACTAAAATGTTGCAAAACTTGGAAATTTTTATCTCGTTAGAATGTCACAACTATTGAATTTTTGTTTGACTCACTTGATAATTAAAATGTCGTTTTCGTAACATTTTATCTGACTAAAAAAATTATTTTTATTTTTATGTTTTTAAATTTTTGGAGTGTCACACGTATGTCCCCAACAATACGAAGGCCCACAGGACGATAGGCGACAGAGCACGCCCGTTGTTTCTGGGACGAACGTCCCCATAGCCCAAGCCAACTGGGAAGCCTTTCCCCCGGGTCGTGGCGAGGTTCGTCCCCAACAAGACCAGCCCACATCATCAAGGCCCAAGGGACATATGTACCTAGGGGCGGCTGGCTACCTTGGCCCAGGGGCAGTGCGAGACGTCTATCCGGCACATCAGAGCACAGCAAGCCACGGTCACATTCGTACGTACGGTTGTGGGAGCATGGAGGTCTCAGATATATCGGGTGGTCCTCTCCCTTGATGTGGGTCCCACATGCAATTCACTATTCACGCAAAAGTAGTAACAAAATTTACAACCTTGTAAATTCATTAACCATTTCATAAGGTTCAATACATGATTAACATAAAAGTAAATATATTTGGGGACGATGTTACACGTTGTCTACAGTCTGAGCAGCGTGACTCACCCGTTGAAAAGGCGCCCGAGGATGATCATGGTTCACCTAGATTCCGTAATAGACGGACTGCGGTTCCTGATCCACCCCTTCTTCATTGAACTATTCCAGCGGTATCAGGTGGTCCCCGCTCAGTTCATGCCCAACTCTTATCAGCTCGTGGTTGCATTCATGATGTACCTCTAGGAAGGTGGATATGAGCCTGTCTCTTTCTCATTATTTCTTCATGATCTCCCCTCGGAACTTCGACGGGTTCTTGACAATCAGCAAACGCTCCGGGCGGAGACTCCTACACGGGGGCATCTCTTCCATCCATGAGTGGAAACATTGATTCCTTTTTGTCCGGTTCCCTGAGGGTCAGCTGCCAATGCAATGGAATGGGTTCCCTCCAAAGGTTGGGGAGCCGCACGTCACTGAGGGGCTAGGGGAGGACGAATAAGAGGCGATCGGTCTGTGTATTCTTATTCTACCGGTAAGTGAGACAATAAGCGTTTCTCGGAATATCCCTTACGGAATAGCAAGGAGGGAAATCGAATATGACACTTGATTTGTGACTTTCCTTCAAGCAGGAATATAAATGAATCCATAAGCTGCTATCGAACCGTCTCTTGCGAGAAGAAGGGTCTTCAAGAGGGGGGGAAAGGGCTTGTGCAACCAAGAAAACGAATGTGCGGGAACAAGCTTATGCGAAGGGAATGCAGATTAAGAGAGTGCAAGATGGCGGCTTTCAACACTTGCTGCCTTATCTAACCTCCAAGGCTCCTGCGATGCGGGAAAAGGTACCGCCCGTGATATTGGATTGTTTTCCCCTGGAATCACACCTAAACCCCTGATGGTCCTTTTAATGTTCAAGGTGAGTGTCTTTAGGATCCATGTTGTCCGGTTCTGATAGTTTGTTCCTTTTTTGTTTTAGGTCCTCCAATACCCTCAGAGATTCAAATAGAGAATGATGCGCTGAAGTTGGAGGGGTCAACACGTGCTGCAAGGATTATAATCTGCATTTGAGGCTAAAATGTGTGGCTTTGCATTATCTTATTGGATTATAACTTCCTGATTACGTATTATGGCCATTTTTCCTTGATTGTTGGTAATACTGTGTTGATTAACATCTCTTTGAACATTACCTTTGTGATGTTATGTATATGATTTGTTTCCATGACTTTTTCATCTCTATTTTTACTTCTCCTTTTAGATGCAACCTTTTCAATGAATGGGAAGATGCCCATTCTACCATACCAAATTACTTCCCCACTGTCTGAAATAGGAGGTTTGTCCACTGCTCACAGGAGCATAACCTTAGTAAAGAACCTCTTTCACTTGCACGCTCTCTGTGGTCGTTTAGATCCCGCTCTTCCAAACTCTTGTAGATCCATTGTAAAATTTTAGACAAGAAAACTCATTTATCATCAATGTATATCAAATTTTGAAAAAATGGGAAAAGTTGTCTTGGATGGAACTAGGGGTGGACGGGAACGGGTCGGGTCGGGTCGGCCCCCGACTCGGCCCCCTAATATGCGGGCCCGACCCGGTCCAGTTGACTGGGACCAGGCCCGAGACCATGTCCGGGATCCGACCCGGGTGTAGAAGAGGATGGCTACGAGATTTGAAGAGAGACCCATAGATCATAAAGAGCAATACAACGAGGTTTGTAACTTATTTCATCAATGATTTAATGAGTTTCGTGCACATTAAGTTAACGCACCCCCTCCCCTGAAACCAAATGCTTCTTCATGTAAAGGAAAATCATTTTTCAAATCTACATTTGGTAATCTTATGAAAAAAATCAACTCCCGTTGTTGCACAAAGCTCGATTAACGAGCTTTCCTTATATCTAATGTTTCCCGTTGAGTATGAAGAAGGGGTGACTTTGACGTTCTTAAGTGGTGGAATGAAAAAGAAGGAATGTTCCTGATTTTATCGAAGATGGCGAAGCAAGTGCTATCAATTCTAGTATCAACAGTAGCCGTGAAACAAGAATTTAGCGAAGCCGACAACGTCCTCACCGATTATAGAATCTCTTGAGGTGCACATTTGCTTTCACCATTGGTTGAAGGCACATCGTAGAATTCAAGAAGTTTGCATCGTCCCCAACCGCCACTCCATGGAAGAAACAACAGCCAATGCTGGTGGAGATTCCGACTGATTTTTATCAAATGTATTTAATGTTTGAAATTATTTTCAATTATCAATTGTACTTCATATTTCAATAAATATAAATTGATTTTTTTGTAGCGCTTGTGAATTAATTAACAAAAAAGACAAAAAATAGCCCGCCCCGACCCAGGCTCGGATCGAGGCCTGACCGGGTAGCCCGATCCCACCCGGTACCGGTGCATACCCGAGCCAGTACCGGACATGATATTTTTGGACCAAAAGCTCGTGAAGTCCCGGCCCAGAGCCCGGCCCGAACCCAACACAGTCCACCCCTAGATGTAATTAATTGTCAACTTGCCTATAACAGAATATAAGCCTTGCCACTCTCTTTGCATATGTCACGAAAGACTTGATTGTATTTGTGTGATTTCTAAGCATACCTCTTTGTGTTTGCAAACTTGACTTTGCAAATGAACCAATTGAAGCTAACGCCCTAAATCCTAATATTGATCCTGATCAGTGAGATTTCAAAAATGTTGTTGAGAACTTGAGATCCACTTGAATCCTCTTGCTTGAATTTTGGGCCCAAATGCTTCTTACATCCACTCTATCCCCTTCTCCAAGTTGCTTTTTAGCAGTGGCCAAGATCCTAAAAATATATCTTCTGGAAATTTAAATTGTGGCAGCAAGTTTAGAAAAACATGTCTGAGCTATCAAATCCCCAAACATCTATTTTAGAACTTAGTAGAATTTCATCAAGTATGCTCTCTTTACATGTCAGATAACCTCTTACTTTTCCCATTTATGTCTTCTTGTTGTGTCTGCCCCTCATTTATGGTTGTTATGTGCAAATTTGTAGGTGAAGAAGAAGAAATGAAGGTGTTTATGAAAGATGAAGAGAGAACAGTTAGGGAAGATATAGAGGGAGCACTTATGGAAGCTACCATTTGTCATTAATTGTATGTGTGCGTGTAGTGCATACTTTTATAATGTGAGGACAGAAGTCACAGAATGAGGCATTCAGATGTATTTATAGTCGTCAAAAATAGAAACTCCCTCTAAAAATATGAGGCAATGTGTAATCACCACCACATTAGAAATTTGATGTTGTGGCTCCACTATGTCCTGTTAAGGGGCATTTATATATGAAATAGTCGGAATAGTGGATACCAGATTAGGAGACAACAGGCAACTACTTGAAAAATTCAACATATTCAAATCAGAAATGGGCCAAATAACAAAACAATATTGCCATGAGACCGGAACTGGACTCGAGTTGACTGGTCAATTTTCAGGGAACCAGAACCAGAATACCAGGTATTACACCTCTGCCGTTCCCACGTTCAGAACCATCCAACAGTCTGTGGTCCAGGTTGTTAGCCCACCTAGTTCCTGTCCAGTCCAAAACCAGGTCCAACCTATTGCAGACCATAGGGAACAGACTGTTGTCTTCACCTAGGAGAGACATGTACTCAGGAAAAAACTTTTATGACCATGCTCCAGATATTGTCTAAGCTGTATGCATGTGCCCTAAACAATAAATGCAATGATTCAAGAAATTCATCTCAACTTACACTTCATCAGTATGAAAGCAAATCAAATCAAATCCGATTTAATTTGAAAAAGAAAGGACGCAACAGCATGTGAAGCTTTTCTATCAAGCCAAATAATGATACAACTTCCTATCAGTTTTATCTCTTTCTAAAAACTCCCGCTCAATAAGAGACTCAATCCGTTTCTTTATTACCACAGGATTTGGCAGGAACCGTGACTGCAACTGCTTTGTCACCTCCGCAACAACATTGTTATGATCCAACACCCTGCGCGATTTCATGATCCTCACAATTGCTGCCTCTATTTGTGGTTTCCTGTCCTCCTCCACCCTCTGTCTAGTCTCCTGTTTCTCCGGTTCAGATTCCTTCTGGGCAACCACAGTACCTATTTTAACCTTGAAGAACTTGCTTGTGAATTTGTCGTTGAAGAAAAACAAATCATCTTCGGCAATTTCCTTACTCATTGGCTCCTTGCGGAGAACGTTCTTCCCCTTGACACAAGCAAGAGACTGCAAACACCTCTTAAGATCTGACAAGGGAATCTCTGTTGCCTGTTCGATGTCTTTATAACTCAACATGTCAGAATTGTTAAAGAGCATCAGGATACACATCTGGTATGTGGAAACATTAAGCTCATGCTTCTGTCCTTTCCCAAAGGTCGCCTTAAGGTCAGCGGTCCCCATGTTTGTCTGCCATGTCAGCCTCCTTCCGGTGTGGGTCCCAAGGTAGTAGGACTTGAACTTTTCACACACCCCGAGAATCTCTGTGGGGAGGTTGCACGGGGTGACTGATTGTGTGGGCCAGGATCCAGTGGTGAGGACCTGGACAGCAAGTGTGGGGGAATCAGACAGTTCAGCCGGACCCACAGCTGCATAGAAGCCCTGCATGGTGTCCTGTGATGTCTTCATATCGGTGAACATGCCTTCCAGTTTTGAGGTGAACTGATACCCACACTCTGTTTTGAGCTTAACTATCAAACTTCTCTCGGCATCGTCGGAGACAGTCTTCCCAGAAAGGAGCCGTTTGGCAAGGTGCTGTTTGTAGTACTTCTCAAAGACATCCTTCTCCTGAAGGTACCGGAAAAGCGTCATAACTTTGTCCAATAGAATCTCCACATCCTCCTCACTAACCCCTTTCAACCCTTTCCTGAGATTGTCATCCACGAACAAAGAGATGAACTCTGGAGATCGGGGATTCAAGTTGATGAAATACTCAAACGAGGAGTTTAGGGCATTCTGGAACATCTTATCGTTGTTAAAGGCCTTGTTTATAATCCTATCGTGTTTATCCTTCTCGTCCAATAGCCTTTGAACAAAATCAACAGGATCCTTTGACTTTTCTGGATCGGTGACAAGTTGCTTCCCGATTTCTCGGACGTGTGAAGTCATTACATCTTTTAGTAGTGACAGTCCATTTGATACTCTTCTGAACAGATTGTACATCCTTCCCAAATCATCATACTTATCATCGAGAATCAAATTCACTAATCCTGAATTTTCCATGTGGACTAACCTCTGCATATGGCTTTCGACCATCTCCCTCTCCACAACAGCAGTGATTTTCGCCTCACTTCTTGGATCCAAGTAATGAGATACCCTCTCAATCTCTTCATTGAGCCTTTTCTCAGCCTTCTTCAAATACTGCCCACAGTCACACGACTCTATGAAACCCTGAGACTCAGCCTGGTAAAAATCGGCTGAGACCTCAAGGAAAGGAATCTCAAAGTTGTCTTCATAAACAGAAATACCTAAATCTGTCAGCATTTTAGTAATATTCCTCATTAAGCTCCTATTTATCACTTCCCCAGTCCTCTCTTGTTCCACGAGTTTGAGAAGTGTGTCCTGAAGCCTTGTTTGGATTTTGACGGAGTGAATAACATTGTCTCTCCATAAATTCAGTCCGAGCTCATAAACCGGTGTTTTGTGTGTATTAGGAATGAAAGTCCTGTCCATATACATTAGTATGTCACGGATCATTTGCAATGCCTTGTTATGGTCATCCCACTTTCGGTTGAGCTCTTCCAGAAACAATCCGCCCTGGGCAGCCTCTATTGACTTCGAAATCTCTTTCAAATGTACAGTCAAAGTCAACACGAGGCCAGAGTAGAGCGTTTCTCCAAATTTGTGTAGAACCATGTTGTATGCATTCCTGAAAACACCACATATTAAGGGTGTGTTTGGATCAAGGAAAATGCTAGGAAGGGAAAAAAAATTGGCAAGGGAAGTAACTTTCTTGTGTTTCAATTTACCACTGAAAGAAAAAAATAATATGATTAATCATTTAAAACATGTTTCACATGTTTAGATTTTTTAGCCTTTATATGATGTAAATAGATAAATAAAATGAGTTTGAACTTTGAGCCAATATAAAAACAAATGTGGAACTTAAACAAACTCAATATTTTCTCTCACATTTTCTCAACTTTCAAATTTCCCTTATAATTTATATGGTCCTCTCTATTTTATTTCCCTCACAATTTCCAAGTTCCAACTTACATACCACAAGAGCGAAGTGAAGCAGAAAACAAGCTAATAACTCCACATTCAAGAAGTGCAAAAAAAAACATTATTGCAAAACATGGAGTTTTCTTAACCATAAAGCAGTGAAGATTGAAACACATAAAGGCAAATAAAAGTAATGCCTACCAGGAGTCTATGATAACTCAATTATACACATGCTAAAATGCCCTATTCTTGAGTATAAAAATCTCATTGCTCAAAGGAACTGCGAGTCATGCAGTCACAAGAGAGAAAGTTATGAACAGTATTGGCACTAAAACATGAGATCAACCAAATGGTTCACAGAAATGTCCAGAGAAAAGCCAATGTAAAGTTCCACAGCTACTTTATGATACTAAATAAATGAGAATATCGTGAAGTTTTGCAAAAAAAAAGTATATAACAAATGATAGTTTCAACAGGCCTTTCTAGAAATGCCTAAATTGTGAGTTAAATATATACAAATTAAGCAAGCCACAAAAAAAATATGTATATTTCTTACTCATACTGCCATTTCAAGATCACACTGTAGCACAAGTAAATTTTTGGCTCTACTTATAATTAGAAAACATAATATCTTGTCTCCCAAGAAAAGGTGAATGACAAGGTAAAAAAACTACATGAATAACCAAACTGCAGCCTGCAGGCATGCTTCTTTTCTACCATTGCTCATGTTATCAGAATAAATCAGAACAGAATATAAGGAAATGTGTGCTGAAATGAGGAGTAACACGGAAAGAACCAGACCACACAAAATTTCAAATCTAAGCAGCACTTCAGCAGCAGCATCAAACTTATGCGTTTAAGTATTCTAATATTCTACGATATCAAAACCAGATACCGATCAAATACACCATGACAGGCATGTAGCAATATATACAAATGCATAAGAATAAGCAACCCAAACCTATATAGCTCTTCAAAACTAAGGCCACTGGCGTTATGATTGTAAATCTCGTGAATCGCGTGCTCAATAATACTCCAGGTCTTCTCTGCATATTTCGGATCAACCACGACCCGATGCTTGAAAGCCTCAATCTGAAAGTTCCTCTTCTTCGGCGCACTCATCTCTCGCCTGATTCCTGAACCGTCAACGCCTCGAAACCACGTTCCTCACCCGTGCCTTTAATTCCTAAACTCAAATCGAATCTCGTCGATATGCTGGCCTTCCGGTCTGATTTAGATGCTAGGGATTTTTCTGTAAAACAAATTTAGGGCTCGAGATGTTACAGGAAACGGAAAGATCTCCAGGGCCGAATCCCTAATTACGCTGATTCATTGATTGATCGTTGTGTAAAGCAAAGCATAGGCTTCAAAACCGTCTTTGGGGTTGTGAGATTCTTTGACGCAGCAATCACCAAAGACTGTTGAATACTTGAATCTGTCTCTTTCTTCTTTGTTCCTCACCTCATTTCTTTTCTTTTTTCGATTTTTCTTTGGTCAAGTATTTTGGGAATCGCCATTTGTGTGAACCCATACAATAAGATTCTCATTTTATCTTACTTTACAGCTTCTCATTTTTTCAAATTTTAATTTAAAAAAATTCCAAATGAAAAAACCAAAAAGATGTACTTTAGTTGTTCTCTATAAGAAAGTCTAATCAAAATTTACATATTGTTGTAGACACCATTAGTGAAACTATCATTATGTATAAATATGATCTCTAATTTTTAATGTGTCAATAATACTTCTCATACACTCGACTTCGAATAACTTTAATTGTTCGATTAATCGATTATTGTGACATAGAACTTTCATACATCACTTTGAATTTTAAAATTTTAGTCATTTAATTATTATAATAGTAACACATTTATCTTCAATCATCCACTTATGCCAAACAGTTTTGGTTGTCACTTGTCAAATGATTTCACTACTACATTTTTAGACCTAATGTAACATTAGAGATGTAACATATCTATAATAGTGTTACCTATTTAAAATTTAACATTTTTTTACCATTACATTTGATGGTGTTGCATTTGACCTATTGTAACACTTTATAGTACCTAATGTAACACTTATACTTCTAGAAAGTGTTACACTAGGTCTCAAAAGTGTTACATTAGAGAAATAGGTAATACTATTATAGATATGTTACATCTCTAATGTTACATTAGGTCTAAAAATGTAGTAGTGTTTCTTCCTTGATTTGGAATTATTGAAGAGTTTTGATTTAACTCTTGCATTTCAAGACACTTTTCATGAAAGTCAAACTATTGTTATTAACATGTTAGTTTAGTTTTTTTAACATGTTAGTTTAGTAATGCTTTTAACTTATCCCTCTTCTTTTTTATTCGTGACACTTAATTTCATATTTACATGATACGATTTTGACGATTAATATACTCTATTAAATAATAGCTAAAAATAAAGAAATATCGAGTTTTAGAGTTTATTCATGAGACAATTTTATAAAAAAAATTATACTTCGTAATATATTTGTTTATTAGATTAAAGAAAAAGTAGTCAATATAGAGTATACAAACAATGTAAAATCGCAATGTCAAGACTATTAAAGATGGAGAATGTATACATGTCATCATTTTTGAATAAAATGGTACAACACTACTAATAGAGTATATGAGCCCAAACCATATGGCCCACATACTCAGAGGATTAAACATAGAGAATCTGGCACCCATGTGGCCCTTCATCGGCCAAATGGTCCTCCATCAGTCGAACTCATTGGATATTAGAATACAGCCCAGAAGATCAGGAACAAAAGATGTGGACTCCGTCGGCCAGGCCCTTCATCGGCCTGGTCCTCCGTCGGCAAAAAGACACCAGTGGACTAGACTTTATACTTAGCTCTAGAAATCATGTACTGAGTCCATTAAAGGTCTTATATTGTATCGGGCCTCCCGGTCCCAAGACCTGGGAGCTCAAATCCACACTTTCCCCTATAAATAGCCCCGTAGGAGTAATTATAGAAGGTTGAGAAATATTAATTGCTCACTTTCTCTCTCTAGCTCTCACTTCTCTCTAGATCTATACTCTATCAAATACTTTAGAAACAATGGCCTAAATATTACTCCCCAACTCTTAGTAGGCAAAAATATCACTAAATTCCTATTTGACAAAAAGGTGACCAAAGCTAAAGCATCTCACCCTATGGCCTTCCGTTTTATTTCTTTCTTCGGCACTCAACTCTTGCCCAGTGGCCTTCTGTCTTCTTCATTGGTGTGCTCAAGACATTATAACTTCTCTGGAGATGGAGTAATACATCGACGCAAATACATGGAGCTCCTCTGCGGATTGAGCAATCGGATCGTCTCTTCTTCGTTGTGCCCTCCACGGTCAAAGCAGACGAATCACCGCCGCCCTGCTCTTCATCGTCCTTGCCCTGCCGCCCTGATCTTCATCTTCCTTGCCCCGCCGCCTTGTTCTTCGTCATCCTTGTCCAGCCGCCCTAGTCTCCGACGGAGTAGCTACACAGATCGTTTCTGTCGTCATCGCCGACGTTCAGATCTGTAATATCCAGGGTTTCTAGGAGATATCGTGCAACACATCGGCGGCGAGGAGCATCATCGGTGAGTGATTCCGATCTAGATGGAACCGGCTAGGTTGGGGGTATTGCGATAGCTTGGGACAACATTTGGGACATGGTAAGGTAGGTAGGGGGGATGGGGGCTAGGGGCTGGGGAGGGCGGTTTGGGGATGGGGATGGCGGTTTGGGGGCTGAGGAGGTTAGGCTATGAGCTATAGATGGCGGTGGTAAGTCAGGGGGCAGATGGTGGCGGCCGGAATATTACGACGGTGATCCGAGTTGGTGCGGCAGCGGCAGAAGGTGGTGGGGTGTATTGGTGTTTTTTGCTGTCACCATTAGCTGGACATGATAGGGGTTATGGAGGGTGACTGTCGTGGTGGCTCGGCGGCGTAGCGGTGGTTTCCTGTGCGGAAACTATGGTGGAGGTTGCATCACATTTTCACTGAAAAAAGTCGCCGGAAATTTTGAAAGTGACATTCGAAAAGTGACATGATAATCGATAGTGACATTTGAGTGACATAATAATCGGCAGTGACATTTAAAAGTGACATAAAAATCAGATAATGACATATGACAGTGACAAAAATTTAGTAGTGACATAAAAATTCTACAGTAATCTAACTTTTTTCCAATTATATGACCTTCTAGTCACATTTTTGTCCTTTTACAAAATAGTCACTTTTTTGTCAACCACTAATTATTTAGTAATATAGAGGTCATAAGCCCAATACTTTAACACACAATGTTCACTCCTAATTTGAAATATTAAGATATTTTCATTTGAAATGAAAAAAAAATGATCTTATATATAAGAGCTTACTCTAGCTTAACTTGCTAAAGGTCTCTTTTATGTGTATTTTATTATTATATGAACATGGTCTAGTTCGGGTTGATCTGATTTGCATAAGTGTAGTCTAAATATGATATAATTTGATTTTTTGATATGATTTGAGGCTAAAGTCAGCGCAATTAAAAAAAAAATCAAAGTTCTATCCCTATTATTTATCATGGGAAAAGGTACAACTCTTAAAACAAATTGATGGCTAAAATCAGAGTGATAAATATATACTCCTTTCATCTCAATTTGTTTTGCAAAATTTGAGTGACAAAAGAATTAAGGAATGACAATAAATGAAGATTTACTTTAGTTTTTCCCTCATCTTCAATAAAGTAGATATTTTTAAGTTAATGGAAAAGAGGTAGAATATGGGTAAAAGATTAAGACTTAGACTATAAGGCGATATACTAAACCTAGTAAGAAGATGACAAGTCAACCCTGTGTTTACTGTCCAATGACATCATCAAGCTTAACTATGAATTCAACCATATAATGTGTGTCATAAATGTGTGTAAAACGGCTAACTATAGAGACTCTAGTTGAGCCGAAGTGGATCGAGCCCGCTAAGCCTTGTTTGTTAGACTCTAATAAGAATAGAGGACATGAACTTATGTGCTTAGCCTTGCTGTGAAAAAGCTCGACCTAGTTAGGTATAATGGACTCACCAGTAAAATGTCAGGTCGCAATTATTGACTTCAGCCTCCGGTAAGTGCTTATGCCCCGCTCGTAGTGTTAGTAGGGCTTTCTAAATTGTATATCTTCTTTAGGTTCTTATGTATGTGACAATATACTTCATGAAGATCTTCTTTGGGTTCTTATGTCTTTAGTCTCTTGTTATACATCACAAACACCAACTTGTTCAAATTATGTGTATGCAAACGGTTCCTTCTCTTGGTATGTATCTACAAACATATTAGTTAAACTTTATTATTTACTTAATTAACTGATATTTTATAATAATAATTTATACAATGATTTAATATCTGATTAAACGTGCTCCAATTGCGCTCACAAGCAGGCGATGAACACGTAAGACTCAACACCCTCACAGCAAAAGCCATTAATTCAGGCGTTTGATCCCCATATTGACTAATTGACACCAGCAGTCCACTACAGTCAACATAATTAAAATTATTACTTTGTAATAAAAAATTAAAGTAAAAAATTATTAATAAACTTTTCATACCAGGACTACGTTTATCAACCGTGCTTTTCGCTACATCATGGCCGAAGAATCCCCTTTTCAAACGATAATCATCCATCTCCAAATGTATCTTCTCTTGAACTTCTCGGTCTGGAAACATTTTTGCCACACAATTAAACAAACCAAGTTTAATCTTTGGATGATTGGACATATTGGGATCATATTGGTAACGGGGGTTAAGATAATAAGTTGCTGCATGCAAATCACGATGCATCTGAAATTCCCACTTCTCATCGATTATGCTCCAAATCTCTTTATATGCAGCCAAATCCCCGTCCAAGTTTTTAGCTATCTCTTCTTTTGCATGATCCATAGAACCATATAAAAATCCCATACCAGGGACCTTTTCCGAGTCTGCCATCCTCAACACAGTAAACAAAGGCTTTGTTGTTTTGATTGCATACACCACGCTTGACCAAAAAAATTTGTCCCTCAACACACTTTGTTTCACCTTCTTTGCTTCTGCGATTTTAGACATGTGATGAGATGACCATTCCTTAGAAACAAACATTTCTTCCAATTCATCTTTTGAATTATGCATGCTTTGCAACGTAAGGTATGTTGTGGCAAATCTTGTGGTAGCTGGACGAACAAGATCTCTTTTTAACATTTGACGCATCAAAGCCAGTGCCCATCCGTGATTGTATATATAGTGAATCACCTATAGCAAAATAACATATTAATATATTAATATATTAATACAATTGAAGTGACACGAGTCCTACTTTTATTTTAATAATTAACTTAAATTTAAAATTTTAAATGATAATTAAATTTCATATTATTTACTTACAGTCGGCCTTTGCTAGCGCATTCTTGTGTTGTGGGAGCTCTCCAATTTTTTCAAGTATCAAATCAATACAATGAGCCGCGCAAGGTGTCCACCAAAGACGTTGTCGCTTCGCCATTAACAATTTGCCGGCCGCTTTATAGTTGGAGGCATTATCAGTTACAACTTGAGTAA